TTCGGACTGGAGCCAACCGAGGATCTCAGCGCCACCAGCACTCTCCACGGAAAAGCTGTAGCTGACGTCGCCGTCGCCGCCGTTCGTGACGGTGACGGGGTGAGACTCCTTGAAATTGGCCGTGTCGTTCAAGTTGAACTTCTCGTAGTCGATACCAGTGCTGTAGTTCACGACCTTAAACCCGTTGACAAGGCCGATTCCCACCTGCGCAACGCTGGCGGGGAATCCGTAGTCCGTATCGGTGCCATCGAACCACGGCAGTGTTGTTCCGCTGGCGATGATCCTCTTGCGCAGAGTCTGCGCAAACCCCTTCCCGTGCACGCTACGACCGCCGAAGGCGCCAATGTACAGAGCCGCTATACCGGCGACGTACGGCGCAGACATTGACGTCCCGCTCATAATTGCATAGTCACCATCCAGGTATGTGCTGAAGATGTTGCCACCGGGTGCGGCTATGTCCGGCTTGAGATCTAGGTCGTAGGATGGACCCCATTGCGTGAAAGTATCGGGTTTGTTAGCATCGCGACTTGCGTACGCAATTGGAGACTCCGGGTTGACGGAAAAGTCGGCAGTCACCGTACCGTTCTTCTTGACGAAGTCAATGATGGCTTCTCCAATGTCTGCGACGACGAGTGCGATGAGAGTGCTTTCGTCGGTACTTCCCGGTTGAATCAATGGGCTCTCGTTGTTATAAAACAGCATGTACTCCGCTCCTAGAGCAGCCAGATGTCCTTGCTTTGTGGTGAACGTGCAAGTTCCGCGCCTGACGAGCGGTATCTTGCCCGTGAGATTCTGTGTACCTTCAGGATAAGGCTGGCATGCTTCCGCGGGATCAGAGGTGTTCAAAGCTAGCGGCACGATGGGCCATCCCGCAACTTCAGACGGGAAATAGTACGTCGAAGGGAGGTAGCCAAGAGTGGTAGTATTAGTGACCCCGCCAAGCGTAAAGTTGGCTCCAAAGGGGAATTCAGGGAATACTTGCCCCTCAACAGAGGCAACCGCAATGACATTGGTACCAGATGACCCGGTGCTTCCATATACAGGACCTTGATCTCCGGAGTTTCCAGCTGATATCGTAACAAGGATACCTTCGTCGACAAGGCGAGATGCTACTTCAGCCCAAGCGCCAGTAGACCAACCACCAGGTGAGCCAATACTTGCAGTTACGATGTCAACCTACAATGCCGTTAGGAAGAGTTTTCAGGGGACATATCACCACAATTAACGTACTTCGTCGTCGTAGGCCCGTAGGAATGCATCAATGAGCGTTGCAGTGTCGGTAGAATCCTGATATTACCCGTAAGCCACCCCTGTTGAGCCATAATTAGTAGTATCACTCATTCTCCTAACTTACAGATCGAGAGAATACTTTATACGAGTATAAAGTAGCTTCGGGTGCAACTCCCGTCCATCTGTAGAGAGAGTAAGCCTGGTTCCTAGTAATGAGTGTATCCCTAGTACGAGGATGGAAAGGAAACACTTACGTGTCTGCTTTGGCCGCGATAATCCCAGCGACATGTGTTCCATGGCCAGTTAGATCAAGTGGATCATCGTCGGGCGTCTTGTCCTCATTAGGCCAATCTAGAATTTTGCCGTCAATATTTGACCTTGGAATTTTTATTATGGCCCTCACATCCGTTACCAACTAAGTCGTAACCGCCCGCTACTTTGAAGCCGGGGCCAAAGCCACCGCCAAGCTGACTGTCTATCAGTATGCGAAGGAAATTCAACTGAAGTAGGTCGAGCTTTTATACATACAGCTGTGTGATTATACCTTGATAGAAAGGTTAGTAACTGATTGAGTGAATACTGGGATGAAAGGTGGACATTTTGAACTCGTGTTCAAACGTTCACCTCGTCTGCTCGAAGTAGATAGTACTGACCATGTGCCGGTATCAACAACTCCAACTTTTGCACCTTTGCCGAAAATACCGGAGGCATGAAGTTTGCTGACCCCTGTGATGTTGTGGGAGGTGTAGTTAAGAATAGTTGGAAGACCCTCAATGACTTGTGGCTCGACGGGTCCTAGATAGACTCTTTCGTTGGGCCAGACGCGAAGCACGTCAGGCATAGCTTGAAGATTGTCGATACTGTAGGAGTCTGTCTCGATGCTAGCGCCAGAAAAGACAGGGCTATCGAAAGACTTGACAATCGTAATGCCCTCCTTAGAGGCGAGACCATCTCGCTTATGCGCTGTGCCCTTGAGAGAGACAGTTAGCCTGGCGTACAGAAATGAGGTATATGCATGTAGAGCTTTAACTCACAGGAGCATATTCGATGATGTAGCTCTTAGCAATAGGTGTCGAATTTGTGGTGTTGTCGGCTTGACGGTTCAGAGCCGCAACACCCCCGGTGAAGGGAAGTGCCAGAGCGAGACTCAAGAAACGCATCTTGACACCTCAATCGCGGCTTGAGATGATACCTCCAATTTCCCTTCTCCCAGGCCACGCAGCTAAGATGGCATTTATACAGCATCGTGACCTCGTTCGCGGTCTACTACACCGGGCCTAGAATCCTCGTCGTCCCCGTGGGGCGCCATTCACAACACGAGGTTTGCCCCACAAAGTGGTTCTGATAGGAACGTCGGGTATCTGTCATTTCTAGCTCAATGGGACGATGTCACTGCGAATTTCACGGCTTAATAGACGGAATAGGGCTGGAGAAGATCTCACCTACCGAGTTGAGCCAGGCCAACCGTCACTATCCGCGCCAAGACGTTGCGTTGATGCAGGGGTCGATCTCCTCAAATTCGTGTAACGAGAAACCACAACGCTTTCCCACCAGAGCACAAGAAGGATTGCTGATGATGAGGTCTTCGACGGTGGGCGACCAAATAAAGGAAAATAGGTGTTATGCCTTAACGGGGCTCATTGTGAAGTCATGATATGGAGTATGCCTAGATCACTTCAGGTCTTAGGCTATCTGAGAGGCTTTCATACTTAGAATGATAGAGAAGCAGGTACTGAGTTAACAGACTGGAACTCGTATGGCGTGATGTGATAGCAGAGACTATGCCTTACTAGGTAGGATGATAGGAATATGGTCGGGTTACAAAAGGGCTACGCAGCCTTAGCCTGTGAATAATTGTGTTAAGGTACAATGAACGAGGAAGCTGCTATGAACCATGTAGGTTTTCGTAAGGGGTTTTTTAAGCTATGTTAGCCTACATGCTTGCTTGTTAGTGATAGATGTAAGAGTGAAGGGTGGAGAGGTACTCGGGATTACGCATGCTAAGGAAATGTATCATCTAGCAACATGGCCTACCTAGATAATGCCAAAATGACGAGGGTAAGTATCGGCCTATAAATCCGATACTCCCCTTTTCCCTTAGCCTAAGGACCCTTCGGTCTATATCTCGCTTATTACTGCAACCCGAACTCCTTACATCTCTTTAGCCAATGTTTCTGATTGGACGTATCTGCCATTCGTCTATCCAACTTTGATCGGATTCAGTGATGCCAGTCTAAATTTCTTGCTGTAGCGTCTACGTACAACTTAACGGGTTACCAAGCTTACTGGTAGGTGCCAAGAGATTATCTAGAGCTATCATACCGTGTGGCAGTCTCCTAGCTCTTATAAACTAATATTTTACCTATTTTACCTAATATACTTCTCTGCGGCTAATAAAAATAAGCTGGGAATAACAGCTTTACTAACAAACCATACCAAGGCTTAGATTAGGAGATATAGCCAATCATACTCCTGACCGAAGACGAACACCCATATGTATATAAGTCTAAGCGTTAGGTTGTCTAGCCTCTTTACATTTGTAGCGAGAACTGCAATGGCGAAAAGCGGCAGGCTCTAGATTCGGTTATTTAGAGCGGACTCGTAACGCTCCCTGTGTCTTATCACCTAGAGTGGGTTCTTTTTCAATCTTAAGGGTTACAGTAAATCTATGGGGGTATTTTGGGGCGTCATTAGAGCTTCCTGGTTGGAGAATTGAAATCTATACCCGAGGGCTCAGGGCTACGTAAAATGAAGCGAGAACCTTCGCGTCATGTCGGTCTACCTTTCTAAGACCCAAGGCGAAGGGCATGTACGATATACCACTAGATACGTTTTCAGTAAGGTATTATATGTAGTCCATATTGTCCTTTCTATAAAATTAACACTGTTTCAAGTTATCTAACTATAGCTTTGGCTTATAGAACCGAGCCCGGCGAGCTATAATAGATTTACTAAACTTGAGGATGCTTGGTTTAGTTACTTATTAAGACGTATAATTATAAATATAGAGAAATAGTGTATATTTCATAAGAGATAACTATAGTACATTCAATTATTCGATCAGGGTTAATAATAATCGTGTAATTTTCGTTATATATAAAGATACGGGGTTATTCTAATTCAATATCTCGAACCGGACATCCTCTTAGTTTCGAGAATAAGAAGTAATGCTAGATCCGGCAACGGAGCTATCGAATGAAGAAAGATTAAGCATAACAGATAACGTAAAGAATGATTTATTCCCCATAATTTGGTGATTAAACTCCAAACAAAGGGTTGAATCTTAGAGCGATCTCGTGTGCATTTGCGCTTGCATTTTATGATGTACCCAAGCCTCTTATTAGAGGGCACAATTCCCCAGTCTATGCGCATCTAATGTAACTACGGGGGTGTTAGATTGTCAGCCACGGCGGACATCAGCTACCGAGGCCATGTTCTTTCGAGGAGCTACTTAGTAGAACTCGAACTTCGAAGCGCGGGCTGCGGGCCGCAGTGGGGCCGTAACATTGCGTTCTCCCCAACGAGTCGTTTCTTTGCTTGCTATTTTCTCAAAACTTCAGACCTAGGAATAGTCTTAGGTAGTTATTCGAGACATTTCGCGCTGGCTAATCAATTGGAATGCAGTTATAGTATCGAGTGGTGCGTTACCCTTTCCATTGTCTGTCTAGTGTTTCTAAATGAGGCTGAATGGTCTCTAATTCCGCCGGATTATAAGCGAATGTGGAAACACGGGCTTATATACTTCTAAAATTAGTCGAAATAACGAACCCGGAACGGTAGCTCAGTGGTAGAGCAGCGGATTGCAGATCCGAAGGTCGCGTGTTCGATCCACGCTCGTTCCTTGGCTTTTTAATGTCTCCAAATATGAACTTCTTTAAATTAGAAGAGGGTCTTCTATTTTTGATTGATCTGGGATAATCCTGTTTGTTACGCATAACTCTTTGAAGACTCGAGAAGTATTCGACAAAGCAATAGTCATTGATTCAATAATACCACGCGGCCAAGCAGGAGGACCGACTATGACGTATTTAATTGTAATAATAACGAGACCTGCTGTATTCGCGGGTTTGAAACGAAGGAGCTGACGCTGCACGATTCAAGTTGACAGGCGAGGGGCTTATCCGGTTCTTCGGACACGCCAGGCTCAGCCCGTTGTTTCGTAGATACATTACGTACCTCCATATAACCATCCTTAGTGCTAACACGTTCACCCTGGATGGTCGGATGAGCCTTGGTCAAAGGCGGAGGATCTTGACGATGAGGTCAACACACCTCGTTCACGAGATGCTTTGGGTTAGATTATGTCATCCCCTCATTCAACGAATCATTAACCAGATATTTACTGATACTCGTACCTACCTAGCTGGTGCTAGCTGAAATGATAGGGAGCGCCTTGGGGGCTTATCGCTAAGCGCTATCGATGGCACTGCCCCTCATCCCCCCAACTTATAGCCAAGACCAGTGGCAGCTGTCCGAGCACTAACAGCATCGGCGTAGACGAGACCCCACTCATCATCTCTTTCCAACCCGAGGCTTCTCTTTGCTGGATGTTATCTGTCGAACATATTAGTGATTATTAAGAATGTAGAGTGCTAGAAGCATCTATACAACTACAACACCAGGCGGGGTAGTCGGATGTGATGAGCTATATCACAAGATACCAGGCTGTCGGTTATAAAGTCCTGGGTAACAAAGCTCAAATAACCTAGACAGGGCTCAAACACCAACGTGAATATCGGCTCGGCAATTTTGTAACTCAGGCAAGCTGCGGCTTCGTCTGAAAACGGACATGCCGAGTATACACATAGTATGCGCGACAGACAGAGGCGCGACTCATATCTCCTAATTCCCCCTATCGCCCACACAGACAGGCACATGGGGTTTCTGATTTGATCATGTCGTCTTATCGCAATGCATGCAGGTTCGGCCGTGTGGAGGAGGGGCCAACTAATTCGCAATGGTCCAAGGGTAGCGCGCTTCGATTTGCCGATCTCCTTTAAGGTACGAAAGTAAGACATGTTGCATTCTGCATGATAGGTCTTCGCGCATTCGCCGGTAACAGACAACCCCCAAGACCGAAGAGTGGGATACCTATTTCATTAGTAATAGAAGCCAAGAAGACTCTCTTAGACTTGAAACGTGATGCCTCTCGGGTTCATCGACTGGAGGGAAGTTCTAGATCAAGCACCGTCATACACGGGATAAGTTAGCAAATGATATGGTAGAACAGGTAGCACGAGCTGAAGGTAAAGCAAGGCCGAGCTCTAGACGTAGAAGGTACAACCCGGTATAGGAACAGAAACCCCTGGAACATGTCAACTTTGGGACAAGTAGCCGCCTGATTTCGTCATACAAGGAAACAGGCAACTACCAATGAACTCGCAGAAGATGAACCAACGCAGGCACAAATGGAGGAAGGGATGGATGGATAGATACTTCCATTGACCAAGCCAAAGTCAAGTCCTACATCTAGATCTACTTCTACTTCCTAGGAAAACGCCGAGAAAGAGGTCACCAGCTCCCGCACCCAAGCCATCTAATAATAGGAAAGTACTGTAATAATAATCGCTTCCGCTGATAGGCAATCGGAGTAGCAGGAATTTCGGTGTCTGTCTAGCCTAGCCCTTCCCCATGCCTGTCATCGTCACACGCCCACCCAACCCCATGAATCGAGCCAGCCAGGTATTGATTGACGTACCCTCAGCTTTATCTTGGAGCAGCCAACAGATGGAGCGGAAACGGCGCATATGGTGGCAGAAACAGATAGTCAGGTAGCTGTAACTTGGTGTAATTGCACACGCACACACATAGACACACACACACCACGCGCCAGACTAGTAGACAAGCCACTTGACGATAAGGGGATTGATGAGTATCCGACCTCTCCTCTCTCCTTTTCCTTATTAACGTGCTCCGGTGTCCCTCCTCGTGCTACTGAGAGATCTAATCTTCTTCCCTCTTGCCCTCTCAACAAATAACCAACTGACCAACCAACCACACAAGCTCAACAACAACAACTATTGTATTGAATCGATTTGTATCTGCATAAGTACCTACAAGGTATACTTGTTTAGGTTTCCGTTGGAAGGGAACACTTGCGTCATCGTCTCCATCAAGCTGAAGCAGCAATCCGTCTGTAGCGTTATCGATAACAGCCAAGCCGCAATCGCAACTTCGCATCGCATCATTTACCGCGCAGCACAATCCGTTTAGACCGTTGCCCCTTATCCTATCCGATCTGAGTCACCCGGTCTTTGTCTTGCTCACTCACGCCTATCCGCGCCTCTGACCCAACGGAAACTCAAACAAAGCCACCCTCTCCCACAATCACTTGACGGCTTCCCACCTGCTTACCTCCAGGTCCCCTTGTTCCTTTCATCACAATACCGTCAGACAGAAACAAAGCAGTTTCCGAACTCGCAAACAGCGAAACCACAAACCAGGCAAAACACAAGACCTACCGTTATCTTACCTAATCGTCATCAATCCGCCGTGTGACTCGACCACCTTCCCAATCGCTTGCTTTCTAGAAAGCACCAAGTCATCTATCCTCCTAACATACCTGACATTTGTCTTCCACCCAACCTAGAATCAGCCATTCGTTTTCTTTCCATCTTCCGCGAACTCACATAATAGTCCTTGCATCATCGCTATCACCTTATAATCTATAACCCATCTTCGGTTCTTATCGTCCCTCCGTCTGCGAGCTTCACCTTTGAAGAGACACCCCGAACAATAAATAAACCCTCGAAGATATAAGCCCACCTTGAACGGCAGCTTACGTCTAACGGAAATAGACGTTGTAATCTATTAGATCGTACTTTCAACTGCCTCCGCACGATCAGACCCTCTGTCATCATGGCTTTTGAGCAATCCCGAGACCTCCGAAGCTCGGCTCAGGACTCGAAGCGTTTCAAGGAGCACGCCGAGAAGTGGTCGCGAGGAACTCGACCCTTGACTGGACGTTCATATAACATATGGGACGATGTAGTCTTAACAGGGAACGAGAGTCCGACCGAAAGGGTTCGACCTGAACGACACTTCCAGTGAGTCATAGCCGATTGCACATCGATGCGTTCCTAGAAAAGTGCTAATAAATTAGTCACAATCGCTTCACGACCCAGAACATCGTGAAGCCGCGAGGAAGTGGCCAAGTACGACACGACCTCCCAGGGAGCTATTCGCGTGCCAAGATAGAAACATTGGCGGAGATGCAAGATCCGTCCAACATCTCACGATCCCTCCATGACATCATGCCATCGCCACAGAGCCGGCGAAGTTTCAGTATCTCGGATAATATCCTATACAGCTTCGACAGAACCGAGAGCCCAGGGAAGCCGCTGACGCTGGATGTTTTCATCAAGACCAACCCAAAGGAGACTGAGAAGCTCGTGGAGAAGGAGTATGAGGTCCTGGACAACAATGGTGACGCCCTGAAGGGTCGAAAGGCTCGACAGAATCTCCGCCGCAAGAATCACACACCAGCGACTGAAGAGCCTGATACCATCGAGGACGACGGCTTCGAGCTGGTGTAATGAATGTTCCGGCTCACTTGGGGAGCGCGCGGTCGGCTTCACTGCGTCTTGATCGTATACGCTCTCTCGCTGGCTTAGCTTGTTGACTCCTCTACTCTTTCCTTTGCATTCTCTCGTCTCCCCGGAGTCAGGAACGGTGCAACGTTGCACCTTGTGTTGTGCAGGAGGAATCCGGATTCACCACTGATACGACTGAGATGATTTCTTTTTCTTTTTCGCGGGCAGCTGTGGTTCGGCATATCGAGAAGGCTGACATTAGACTTCTAATATCGAACCATTGTCGCCCAAGCATGCATTTTAGACGGCAGCGGATTGTTGTATCATGCATACCCTACCTGGACCTCTGGTGGGCGGTGTTGAGCCCAACTTCTACCATCGGGACGGGGTGGTCGAAGGAGGACGGCTCGGCACATCTTTTCTTCTTGTAGATTGGGCGAATGGACGGACGTGCGGCATTACCAAGGACGAGGACGTTCGGGGGGAATCGATGTCTGGTATGGCGCATCGGGCTATTTCTTTCGTACGTCTAGCGCAGTACGTTGCATGAAATATTATTCAACCCCAATACATACCTCCTACACGACCTTTACCCGTAAACCTCGTAAAATGTGTTCGTTTGAAATTGGAGTGCCATAAGTTGTGGTTGTGTAGAGGGGAAGACGGGATATGGAAAATGGCGGTGACGAGGATTTGGAAAATGGATAATTCTTGGATTGTGTGCTCATGTTGTGGTCCGTGCTTTTCGTTACGTAAGGCGTTAGATGTGACAATAACCTCACCAAGCAGTTGCCAGGCATAGACTAGCATGTTCTTAACCTTGTAAGTGCACCAGCTCTTCCATCTTCACATTCTGTTGATTCTTGCGCAACGCTTCTAAGTAGGAAATTCTAATTTCTCCCATCTCCAACTCAACATTCGAGATCACTAGGTACCAATTCACATTGAGATATCAGCCCTCCAATTCACTGTTTCATCGTGCAAGAACTCTACACTTAGTTCATAATGAACCAGTTCTTCTACCTCGCCTCTTCACTAATATGGAAGCGCCTGATATATGGCAGCAGGCTTGGAGCATTACAGGTATTCAATGGCCAACCCCAGGAACTCGTCCGTCTTATTGCCGAGCCAGTCCAATCACATCAGCGTTGGTTTTCCTTTGCCTCGAATACTAGCCAAGTATTTGATCCGAGTGGTTCTTCAGCAGCTAATGCCCTGTCTTTGCCTCGCGAGGTTCACCTCGTGATCTTCGCCCAACTAGAAACTGTGGAGGATGTCATGACCTCTGGCCTCTCTAACGTATACTTCCG